CAGGGGTCTGAAGAGCAGAGGGCTGTACAAGCCGTGCCCTGGAGACCTGGATCCCACACCACGGCTTCCGCTAGGGACGTGAACTCGACTGTCTTATCAGTCTCCCCATCTGAAAATTGAGAGAACCGCTTTCAGATTTCCTAGCAACATCTTTAATGGGTTTTTCTTTTCTTTTTTTTTTTTTTTTTTTCTAATAGCTCATCGATTCTCAGTTCTCAAGTTTCTGCAAACGATGTGAACGTACAGATCCCTGCAGTTCTGTTTACCAGGCTTCATCTCTCTGCACATCCAACATGCGTCCATTCTCTCAACCACGTCCTCAGTAATGTGGAGACATTCATTGCATTCAGGTGCTCTCTTGCTTTTCTCACAAATGGACAGTGGGCTTTCCCAGAGGCTGCAGGACCTGGCAGTCCCAGCTGACTTAAGTACAGAGGCAGAGAGAAAATCAGATCGCCTTCTGGGAAACCAGATAGGAGGGAGATTGGTGAAAGTGTAAAACTGTGCTGTTTTGCTCACTCCGCCCTTTTATCTTCCAGAAATTATTGGCTTTTTAAAATTGTAGTTGATTTATAATGTTGTATTCATTTTGCTGTACAGTGAAGTGATTCAGTTATACATATACATATTTTTTCGTATTCTTCCCTGCTATAGGTTATCACACGCCTTTGAATAGAGTTCCCCGTGCTGTGAAGTAGGACCTTGTCTATTTTATACGTATTAGTAGTAGTGTGCATATATGAATCTCAAATCCTAATTTACCCCTCCTCTCCTTTCCCTTTGAGAACCATATGTCTGTTTTCTACAGCTGTCAGTCCATTTGGTAAACAAGCTCATCTGTGTCATAGTTTAGATCCCACTTATAAGTGAGAGCATAGCGTGTGTCCTTCTCCAAGAACTGACTTCACTTACTGTGATCGTCTGTCAATGGGCGTCGAGGTGGTTCCCATGACTTGGTTATTTATAGTGCTGTTGTGAACGTCAGGGGCCTTCCCTGGGGGCTCAGATGGTAAAGGGTCTGCCTGCAATGCAGGAGACCTGGGGTCGATTCCTGAGTTGGGAAAATCCCCTGGAGAAGGGAACGGCAACCCATTTCAGTATTCTTGCCCGGAGAACCCCATGGACAGAGGAGCCTGGTGGGCAGGAGTCGGACACAGCTGAATGACTAACCCAGACACACACGCGCGTGAACGTCAGGGTGCACGTATCTTTTCAGATTGCAGTTTTCTCAGGATCGATGCCCAGGTCTGGGATTGCCGGGTCGCATGGCAGGTCTACTTTTCGTTTCCTAAGGAACCTGCCTGCTGTTGTCCAGAGTGGTTGCACCAATTTATGTTCCCGCTGACAGTGTAGGAGGGTTTGCTTTCGTCCACATCTTCTCCCGCGTTTATTATCTGTAGACATTTTATTGATGGTCATTCCGACCAGTGTGTGGTTGTGCCTCACTGTAGTTGTGATTTGCAGAAAATTGTTTTAACACATAAAGATGTGTTACATAGATTAACATGCCATGGTTCCACCATTAAACTATTGAATATATATTTAACACTTTCTCAGCTTTAATTTTTAATATAATGGAAATTAATAGGCTGCTGCTGTTCGGTCGCTCTGTCATGCCAGACTCTTGGCAACCCCACGGACTGTACCCACCGGGCTGCTCTGTCCATGGCAGGAACGCTGGAGTCGCTGGCCATTTCCTCCTCCAGGGGATCGTCCCACTCAGGGGCTCAACCTTCATCTCCAGCAGTGAGGCAGATTCTTTACCGCTGAGCCACCAGGAGAGCCCCAGATGTTATGACAATTTAATCACAAAAATATTTATTCAGTAGTGATTTTTATTGGTTGATATGTGACTAAATACATTTCAAAGTGTCTCATTTATGTATAAATATGTCAATTTTAAAACTTTATAAAGGACAGATAATGTAATAAATATTGATAATAATGTAAATAATACTTAATTAAAAGGAGACAATGTCTAATGTGAAATAAAACAAAGAAGAAAAACCTTAGAAATGTTTCATTCTCTTAAAAACAATGAGCAAGAGAGCAGAGGAAGCCAGTTTGCAAGGAAGAGAGGGGACTGGGAATGCAAAGAGGAACGGAGTCTGGACTCTGGGCCCCCAGAGCCTGGCCGGTGGAGGGCATTCATGACCCTGTGGGTGATCAGGATTGGATCATCGAGGTCTCCATCCAGCCCTGAGTTACCTGTTTGAGCTCTAGCTGTTGACCTTGTGGAAGTCCAGTGGCCACCAACCTGCCCAGGTGTCCTTCCAAGACATCCACGGCCTTCCGGGGGCTGCATGACCGCCACGCACGACACCAGCAGAGAGTGCGGGGGCGCAGTCGGGAACCAGGGGAGCTGCAGGGTCGGGGCTGGGAACCAGGACGCGTCCTCAGAGACTGTGCCAGATGCTGGGAGAACATCCTCGGGAGCCCAGAGGAGGGGCTGGGGGAGGGGAAGGGGGTCAGGGGAGGCGGAGGACACCCAGGGGAGAGAGGAGTCAGCAGAAGCTGGGGGTCCGGGGGTCGGCTGGAGACGGTTCCAGCTGAGAGTCAGAGCCTGGACCGGGACACACGAGGAGCGGCTGGACGCGGATCCCATACACGGACCACTGACAGTGCACGCGCTGGGGCGGGGGGACACACCGCCCCATCCCCACTCGCCACCCTCGCCCTGGGGTCTCCTCTTTGGCCAGGCCAGACTTCCAGGTAAGCAGCCCTGGGGTCTACCATCTGCTGATGGGTCCCCTGAAGGCTCAGGCGCCCCAGACGCAGAGGGCAGGGTGAAGGGGAATGGGCGCCCAGGTCAGGGGAGGAAGAGGCCCCTGGTGGCTGCTGCTGGGATGGGGTGGGTGGACCAGTGGGGTGGCCGGGGCCCCTCTCCAAGTGTGCGTGTCGCTGAGTGTGTCTGAGTGTGAGTGAGCCAGTGAGAACTAGTGTGTGTGTGTGAGTGCAGGGGCATGACTGCGTGCCTGTGTAAGTGGGAGTTGTGGGTGAGCGTGTGGGTCCAGACCCAAGTGGGCAGGTCCCTGGCTCAGCCCACGGGCCCCTCCTGCTGGTGCTCAGGGGGCATTGATGACAGCAGGCGACTGTAATTACGTACCTGGAATATTCCTCATTAAGCTTTGGTGAACGCTTGCCAAACTCAGGATATTTTGTCTAAAATTGCTTACCTTTGGGCCTCAGGTGGCCTCTGAGCATTTAATTTAAAATAACAAGGCAATATCTCCATTGGGAACGTTTGCCATAGGAAGGGGGCATGTGGGCTCTGACCACTTGAGCATGTCCCAGGCTGGGGCGGTGACCTCTTGGGTCTGATTAGTGGGCTGATGGACAGTGCCAGCTGCTAAGGAGGGGGGCTGGCATCCAGGCAGACCCCCAGCCACGTGAGCACCAGAGCTGGTGGTGGGCCAGATTGGGGACCTACTGGCCTTTGCAGAGAGTATGTCAGTCCATGGCCAACTCTGTGCTCACCTGGGCCTGACTGGACTGACTGGACATGGTTACGTGTAAACCAACCCACAGCCCTTGCTGGCATGCGAGCTGGGTCAGGGTGCTCCTTTAAAATGTCCACTCAGTATGGCTCCAAAGCTCACCACACAAAACCTTGCTTGTAGAGACCCAGGGGCAGCCTAGACGCTGAGGTTCTGTTTGGGGAGAGCCAGGGGCTGGGGGGTGGAGGTTGCTGAACATCTGGTGGAAGCAATTTCATTGCCAAAGATTAACATCTGTTGCTTAAGCATGAATGTATAGTGGCTGGAAATGTAATAAGATTCATGGTCCTGTTTTAAGTAGATTAATTTTGTAATATTTGCTTTCCACCCCCTGCATTTAATACTCAGATTTAGACCTGGGAATTGCCTTGTAAAATCGCTCATATGGCTCCGTCTCATGGCCCCATGGAACGCACTGTGGCCAGCTCCTCACAGCACCTCTCTGTCCACTGGGCTGCCCGCCCCTGGGCAGCAGCATGGTGTTCCCGCCTGCCTGCAGCCAGCGCCAGGCGGGGTTGTGCTTGCCTTCCGGAATCTGTCTCAGAGCCTTGTAACCTTGGCAAGGACAGCTGCTGTTACAGTGGGTGACTGAGTCAAGGCTTCTATTAAAATATCTTTAAGGTAAAGGACAGGTAGATGACAGCATATATTGCCAACTCTGAAGAGGGTGAAATCGTTCACTCTCTGTATTGTATTGTTCTGGTGGCCATAGAGCAGAGAGTATGTCAGTCCATGGCCAACTCTGTGCTCACCTGGGCCTGACTGGACTGACTGGACATGGTTACGTGTAAACCAACCCACAGCCCTTGCTGGCATGCGAGCTGGGTCAGGGTGCTCCTTTAAAATGTCCACTCAGTATGGCTCCAAAGCTCACCACACAAAACCTTGCTTGTAGAGACCCAGGGGCAGCCTAGACGCTGAGGTTCTGTTTGGGGAGAGCCAGGGGCTGGGGGGTGGAGGTTGCTGAACATCTGGTGGAAGCAATTTCATTGCCAAAGATTAACATCTGTTGCTTAAGCATGAATGTATAGTGGCTGGAAATGTAATAAGATTCATGGTCCTGTTTTAAGTAGATTAATTTTGTAATATTTGCTTTCCACCCCCTGCATTTAATACTCAGATTTAGACTTGGGAATTGCCTTGTAAAATCGCTCATATGGCTCCGTCTCATGGCCCCATGGAACACACTGCGGCCAGCTCCTCACAGCACCTCTCTGTCCACTGGGCTGCCCGCCCCTGGGCAGCAGCATGGTGTTCCCTCCTGCCTGCAGCCAGCGCCAGGCGGGGTTGTGCTTGCCTTCCGGAATCTGTCTCAGAGCCTTGTAACCTTGGCAAGGACAGCTGCTGTTACAGTGGGTGACTGAGTCAAGGCTTCTATTAAAATATCTTTAAGGTAAAGGACAGGTAGATGACAGCATATATTGCCAACTCTGAAGAGGGTGAAATCGTTCACTCTCTGTATTGTATTGTTCTGGTGGCCATAGCAAAACATCACAGACAGGGTGGCTTAAACAATTGACAATTTATTTTCTCACAGTTCCAGATGCTGGAAGTTCAGGACCAAGGTGTGGGTAGGGCTGGTTTCTCGTGGGGCCTCTCTCCTCGGCGTGAACACGGCCATCTCCTCCCTACATCCTCAGATGGTCATCCTTCTGTGAGTATCTGTGTCATAATCTCCTCTTTTTGTAAGGACACTGGCCAGATCGTATTAGGGTCCATGTTCCTGGCTTCCTTTCATCTTATTACCTCTTCAGAGACCCCACCTTCAAAGAGTCATGTTTGGAGGTTCTGGGGGTTAGGAATCAACCTGTGGATTTGGGGGACATATCACAGTGTCAATCCACTACATCCCCCAACAAGAGTAAAAACAGGGGTTCGAGCCTTGAAGGAAAACCACAGATTTATATTCTTATAGAATCTCAACATGGACAGAGTTTTATTTCTATGAAAAGTCATTTGCCAGGCCTAGAGGAATTAAACCATGCTATCATGTCAACCTGGTATCTCCTGTTTATAACTAATTTAACTGTGCCGGTCTAAGGATCATAATAGAATACTATGAAGGTACGTGTGGGGCTGGTCTTTTTTGCAGAGACCACCCAATATAGGTGGAAGACAACAACTGCTACCATATTGTTAATATATGAAATGTATTAGTCACTAGGTCGTGTCCAGCTCTGTGCAACCCCAGGGACTATAGCCCGCCAGGCTTCTCTGTCCATGGGATTCTCCAGATAAGAATACTGGAGTGGGTAACCATTCCCTTCTTCAGGGAATCTTCCCAACCCAGGGATCAAACCTGGATATCCTGCATTGCAGGGAAACTCTATACCTGCTGAACCACCAAGGAAGCCCCTGATATATAACCGCAAAAACCACTACAATATTGTAAAGTAATTAGCCTCCAACTAATAAAAATCAGTGAAAAAAAGTATAATCCATCTTTTTAATCAGTTCATTAATCAGTAAAATTCAGTTGTCAGCTTAGTAATGCCTCCTAACGGAGCCTGGATCAAATTGAATGATGGGAAGGTAAAGAGGTCCCAAATCAAAGGATCCCACAGGTATTAACTTAACATCTTGCATTTTCAGGGTCTGCTATTAAAGTATGTTCTGAGATTGGTGGCGAATGTGTCCTTGAAAATGTGTATGCCCACACATGTGACTCCAGTTGGCGTGTGCTTATGGATCATACGAAGGGTGTATCCATTAGGATCGGCATCTTGAGAGGCCCTTCTTTGCTAAGATGGCAGTTTCACCCTGTGGCCATCAGGGTTTTCCTTTAAGACCTTCTTGAAATGGACCAGTTGTACTCTTTTCTCAGTCTTGGCAGGGAGAGGCTGATGGGGAAGTCTCAGTTTCAAAAGGACAACTGGTCAAATAACAATGTGAAACTCTGGGCTTTTCTGGCTTCCTGGTAGAGAATCAGGGCCCATGGGATATCTCACAGTTGAGACTTTGAGGATAAAATGAAAGAAAGTGTCTTTGGCAGGAAGGGTGACGGAGGCCACGGGGAAAGGCCTGGTCTGGACCACAGTCGGCCTCTAGCCGGGGCTGCCATCTTGGTTCACACTCGGAATGCTGCAGGTGGTGCCAAGCTGGTTGCTCATAATTGTCCCCATGTGACAAATGCAAGCAACGTGAATGTTGCAGTACGTCTGGCCCGGGTCTCCCTGTTGTTGTCTGGCCAGGAGTTGCTGCTCTGAGAAGTGGAAACGGCCCCTGTCTGGGGGCCGGCCTGTCCATCGTGGAGGACGGAGGCCGCCGGTGAGGAGGGGACCCTGTGCGGCGTGGCTGCGGCCTGGTGCTCATCCCCAGCTCACCCGCCTTGGGTCACGTCCTCCAGTTAAACCTCGAGCTGAAGTCGTTCTGCACTGGTGGGTGTGCCCCAATGTGGTCCTCGGGCTACTGTTTCCCGTCCCCTCTGCCCTTTGTTCTCAGGGAGTCCTGGGTGAAGTCACGCGGAGCCGGGGCTCGGCAGCTAATTTCATCTCACGTTATGCTCACCCGGCCACCCTGAAATGCATGTAAATGGATTCTATGTGTTTTCAAAAAGGGAGCCGTACAAATAGAAGGTGGTGAACGAGGGGGCAAAAAAAAAAAGATAAAATACCCCTCAGCGGGTGTGTGGGTATTTCCAGTTGGAGGGAAGGCTGCTTCCTGTCACCGTCTGAATGTGTATCAACCTAACTCGATCACCTTCTGAAGAATTTATGAATCATGCTTAATAATCAGCTTTAGGCACTTCTGAGGGAAGCGTCACATTTTGAAGCTACAAAGGTCTCCTAAACAGCTCCTGGGAAATGACCTTGCATCCCATTAGAGGTGAAAATCCACTGCCGTCGGATGAGGGTGGGAGCTGAGCCACTTCAGCCTCAGCCCACTTCAAAATGTCAAGGAGCCTCCACTTAAACACTTGATTAATCTACAAGGGCCAGAGCAGACAGAGCCTTCCCGGGGAAGGGGAAAAGTCACATGTGCATTTTTTCCTTGAAGAAACTTTTCCTTTGCACTTAAGGGAAAAAAATATAACCTCTTCTTTCTCTCATATGCATTATTTTCTGTCTTTAAAAAGACCTTTATCTGACTTTTATCTCTTCCATATGCCTGTGGCCAATGCCAGCATCTTCCCGTTTTACAAATCTGCCCAGGTAGAGGCTTTATCTGACTCACACCGGCTTACTATTTTCCTATTTAAATGGTTGATGCTTAATCAAAGTCAAATGTGAAGGTCAGGAAGATGGTTTTGGAGCTTTGTGATCCGAGACACACAGCGGGCTCACTCGACAGAAGAAAGAGGCTCAACAGAATGAAATTCCCACCAACTGTCACTCTCGCAACCCGTGTTTGGAGCAATTTGGGCTCTGTTTGCTTTGTCTTTATTATAAATAATAATACTAATTATGCTACTTATTATACATTACATATAATTTGCATTGATAATACCATTAATAATTTATTTGTTACACATATTATAATTAATAAATTAGAGTATTCATTCAGGTGATTTGAATTTTAAATTAAACTAGGTCTTATAGAGCCTACCAAATAGGTATTTTATTTGGAGAGACTTACAGAATCTCCATAATTGCCACAATTACAGCCATCATGATATAATCATCCTATTTCCACAGGAAACAGATTAGTTCCTGATTGCCCATTGCTTTTTTTCTGGGAATCCCATTGCTCAGAGTTGTCTTGACATTTAGGTGAAAGGAAAGGCATAGTGACTCCTATTTACTTCACACTTAACATCCCCGTGCACTTCAGAACTCGTGAGTGTCCCCTGAGTCTTTATGCCTGGTTTGCGCTCACAGTTTCCGTGCAGTCCTGAGCCTTTGACCCAATGTTATCTCCTGGGGAGTCCCTGTCATCTCCTTCGGGTGAGGGTTACGGGGTGGTTCCATGATTCTTGGCAGCTTCTCACCCTTTCAGACCCACTAAGTTATTTTTGGTTTTGAATGCGCTTTAACATTTTATAAGAGGGTAAATTTTGTGCTGTGTTCTTACCATCAAAAAAAAAAAGGAAAAACAAACCAGGTGACCTAAGGTGGCTCTGGGAGGTGCTGGCTTGGCTGTCCCCTCGCTGGTGGAGGTGGTATCCTGATCCTGCGCAGAGTCTGCCAGCTCCAAACTGTACCCAGGAACCACACGCTGCCCTGTGTCAGGGACCCCTCCACGGAGCAGGTTAGAAGGAAGCAGCCCTCAGGGCCCCACGGGGCTGGCCGCGGGCCGATGTCACTGAATCTGCAGAAAAATAGCCCCCAGAGCCCCCCACCTCCCCGGAGGCCAGAACTTGGGCCTGCTCTTGCACCCCCAAGTGAAAACCCAGCTCTGAGAGTCAGGGCGCGGTGTGGAGGCTCTGGGTGGCTGGGGCAGGGCGGGCTGAGCAAACAAACACAGCCCTCAGCAGAAGGCGGGCCCATCAGCTCCAATCTGTCCTCCGCACGTGTCTCTAAACGCCCTGGTGTGGCTGGACAAGCGCTCTCTAACTGGCCCGGCCTGGGGTGTGCCGGGCAGGAGTGGAGGGAGGGTGGGCTCCCGGAGGCTGGTGGCTGAGGGCGTGCAGGAGCATCCAGGGTCCCAGGGCCAGCTGTCAGGACGGCTGATCCCTACATGGTCCCCCCTGTGGGGACGGGCTCTGGGCTCCCTGGGCCTCCACATGGACCCATGTGGGGGTACCCTACCACCCCGAGAGGGACGGAAGGCCTTGCTCTGACTGCCTTGTGAGCAACGGTGGGGGCTTCCTGGATCCTTCGGGAGAGACAGGCAGCTGCTGGCCTGGCCACCTGGGGTGGAGGGCCCTGGGGACCAGAGGTGGCTTTGCGCCTACACAAGGCAAGCCCGCGGCTGCAGCCATCTGCTCTCTGAGGCCTGCCTCCCCTGTTCCTTCCCTCTCTGCACAGACATGATGGGTGACCTGGGCAACCGGGAGGAGCTGTGCTTTCATTAGACTAGAGGGGACGCCAAGAGTCAGACGTGCCTGAAGCGGCTAAGCGCACATGCAGACTAGTCACTCGCAAGGATGAAACGTTTGCGCTTTTCACCTCTGCTCTGATTGGTTGGTTGCAGGCTACTGGATGTGAAGGGTTTGGGGACATCTCTGTGGTGGGCTTGGGGGTTGCATCAGTGTGAAAAGACAGTCATTCTGCTGTAGTGTGATTCACATGCAGGTGACTGTGAAAGTGTTTTCTTTGGAGATGTAATGGCTCCTAGGCATGTGGGTTACAGAGCATCATTCTCTAACTTTTAACAGCAGAACGATGAACAGAGACTGAACTTGGCCTTGAGAAGACTATCTACACAGCAAGCACCTAACAGTCACCATCTGGCCTTTGTGGAACCAGCTTCGGTTTGTGGGGCGGGGGTGGGGGGAATGTCCTCGTCTCTGTTAAATTGAACAGAAATGTCACCTTTGTTGTGAAATAAATACCTGACCTTTCCCTCCTGAAGGTACGTTCCTGGCCAGGTTGGGCCGCGACAGAAGCTGAGGTCCAGGTAACAGTGTTTGTCCCCCTCGTGATGAGGGTCTCTTGAGGTGGCCAGTCACCTTGCCGCCCCAGGGCCAGCCAGCGTCTCCCCCGCATGGGGAGGCCATGCCCGCTGCTGAAGGCCCCACACCCCTCTGCCCCCTCCCCACTGAGCCGGCCCACAGCACCAGCTCAGCACCCCAGCCTCGGAAGACCCCCGGCTCTGAACACACAAAGGGACACTTGCTCAGAGTGCAGGGACCCCCAGAACTCTGAGCCACGGCCTTGGCCTGGCAGAACCGACCCATGAGCCCAGAACTCTCTGGGCTTGGTCAGTGACTCCTGCCCACATTTCCAGATCAGCACCAAGCAGAGAAAGCCTAAACACCCCCATTATTTAGGACACCCGTCTCTGCGGGCCACCCCCCACTTCCTCAGGCCCCAGCCTCCCCTGGGCCCACCTGAGGCCACCTCTTCACTCCAACGTGGACCCAACTCCTCCGCCTGCCTTCGGGTGTCTGCCAAATGCGAGGGGTGGCTGAGCCCCTCACGCTCTCGCCTGGGTGGTCTGCAGTGACGCCCACCCTCCCCAGAAGGCAATCATCCAGCAAGGGCATAGGAAGTGTGAGCATGCGCCCGGCACTGCTGTAGGTCCTGGCAGGCAGGACACGGAGGCAGCGTCTCTGATGATGGAAGCTGATCCCACGTCCCCTGCTCCATGCTTTCAGAGACACGGGCTCCTCAGGGCAGGCGGGGTCCACGTGGCTGGAATGCCCAGGACATGTGGACTTGGATTTATGGAGACAGGGTGTGTGTATTCTGAGCCGCTCATCAGTACTGCAGCCAGATGCCCCCTGGGAGCCCATGCCCAGCTTGGCGAAGGATGCCCAGGGCCACACCAGACACTCTGCTTTCAGAGTCTTCACTCACTAGTCTGAAAGAGGCCCCAGACATTTCCTCTTCTTCCCTTGGGCTCTTGGAGTGATTCAGGAAAAAAATGGCTCTATCCTGTTCCTTTGGAAAGACACAGACCACTCCATGGCCATTGGCCCATGACCCCACAGGAGAGCTCGGGGCCAAATCCTCCATGCTTGCCTTGGGGTCCTGCACCCACAGAGTCCTCTGTCCCCGCTGTACCTGAGCATCGGCCCTGGACGTGGTTTCCTATTAACATGACCTGAACCACTGGAGCCATCCTGCCCTGTGACCGCCCCCGGGACCAGAGCACGGTTCTCCTGGCAACACAGCCCAAGCCGGTTCCTGTCTCCACACCACATGGTGTTGCCGGCTTAAGTGATGTGAGGTGACTAAGACCAGCAGGCCTTTCTCTGTGAAGCTCAAGTTCCCTCCTCCTGCTCTTTTGTGTGAGTTCAGCTCTTTGCGCTGGCCTGGGATGTTCCCCCAGGAGCAGTGGAGGGTCCGGAGATGACCAATGTCCTTAAAGCCGACGCTTGGCTGCAGGTGAGAGTCACTTCCGGGTCAGCCAGGTTCTGGGCGTCCCCTTCATCCTGACGCCCACACGGCTGCATTCCTGCTGGTGAGCGGCTCGACTCAGGGTCGCAGACCGGGGCACCCTTTAGGGGAGGGATGTGTTTGTACACTTAATGTGAAGAATCCTTTAAATATTGACAAACGGAATCTCAGAGAAAAAGATGACGTTTATGTGAAATACTCAACAGGGCCGTTATTTTATGGCTGCTGTAACTTTTGTGGAGATGCTTCACTGACTCAGTTCTGGACCAATCAGATCATTTCATTGTTCAGTTGCTAAGTCATGTCTGACTTAGAGACTCAGCGAATGAAGGACACTAAATTCCATCTCTTCATACCACGGAACTGAAGGCGTGATGGACAAAGTAATTTAGGAAGGTGCGTGCTAAGTCATTTCAAGTGTCCCACCCTTTGTGACCCTGTGGACCTTAGCCCCATGTTTCTCTGTGGGGCTCTCTAGGCAAGAACACTAGAGTGGATTGCCATGCCGTCCGCCATGGGATCTCCCCGACTCAGGCACTGCACCTGCATTTCTTACCTCTCCTGCTTTGGCGAGCAGGTTCTTGATCACTAGTGCCACCTGGGAAGCCCCAGTTTAGGAATAACACACAGTGATTGGGGAAAACACCCATGACTTGGGAATGAGGATAAAATTAGGTGATGCTGCCTTCGTCTGCCCAGGTTTCCATAACAAAATACCACAGGCTGGGCTGTGTAAACAGCAGACACTCACTTCTGATGGTTCTGGGGGCTGACATTGAGGGCAGGGCGCCAGGGGGGGTCTGTTCTGGGGAGGGGTGCAGAGAAGGTTGACCTTCGTCTCTGGAGTTTGTTTTTCTTTAAAGAGAACACTGTAGACCTTATTGAACTGGTCGGTCAAACTCAGTCAAGCACTTGCTGGTCTTTGCATGTAAGTTTCCAACCCTCACAGGGGTGGGGGTGATGTTATTCCAGGTCAGAGGGATTTGGGTTTGGGTTCTGACACTAGCTAAGCGAGCACTTTTGAGAAGTCTCCTCCCAGACCTTCCTGGCTTCCTTTTTGAGGATAATGGCACCCCCTTCATTGGCTCATGGCATCGAGACTAAGCAGTCCCTATGAAAGGCATCTAGGGTGGGCGCTGCCCCTCCTCGGGTCTCTGCACCCCTTATGCAGGCTGTGGGGTCCACTGTTGGAGCAGGTGAGGGGGTGTGATACCACCTACACGTCACTCCTGGGACCCTGAGTCTCCCTGACCCACAGAGAGGGGCTTTGTGGACTGGCCGTGGCAGCGATGGTTCTAACTTTTCAGCACACTGCCTAAGAAAATTATAAATAAGAACCACTTCCCCCCTCCTGCTCACTATCTATGATCCTTTGTGAGCAGCCAGACACTCTGGGAAACGCTAACTCGGAGCCTGTTTGCCAACGCTGCACAAAGGAAGATTCAAACCTCACAGCACAGCAACCCCAAACCCACAACTAATATGATACAACTGAACAAAAACACAATTTACCTATCACCTTTGGATGAAAAATGTTTAAGACACTATTTCCTAGTGTCTAGTTGATACAACTGTTAACAAACAGGTACTCTTTTGCATATCAGTGCCCCCCTTTTTAAATGACAGTCAATTTTCTCACTCAGCTCACTGCTTTCTCAATAATTGCATCAATTTTTTAAAAACATGAACTAGACAAAAATAAGATCTAGCTGCAAAAGGTGAAGCGGGAAGGGAGTTAGTATAGACGTTCCAGGCAGGGAATGGCTCACTCCCACGAGGCACCATGATGCCCCCAGCCCCTCATGTCTAAGGATACACATCCTCATGGATGGCTTTAGCGCACATTTTCCAAATGAACTAAATGTGATTTTGTTGAATGACTAATTGTGCTGGAAAAGTAGCTCCATAGTTTTCTGGCACATTTGTTTTGCTAAAAAAAAACTGAGATTGGGAGATGTCATCATAAACTTCTGTTAAATCTTCACTGGCTAGAAAATATTTTATTGGAAAAATCATACATTATAAAGAAGTTGGGTCTTAAAAAGCAACAGGCAATCCACAGGAAAAATACAAACAAACAAATACCAACCATTTGCTCATGCTTGTTTTTCAATAATACAATAATTCATAATTAATTCATCCATCCAGCTCTATAATTACCAAGTAATTTTTAGGTGGTTCCACTGTGATGGTTCTATGGTAAAAAACCCACCGCCGATGCAGGAGACACAGGAGATGCAGGTTCCATACCTGGGTCAGGAAGATCCCCTAGAGAAGAAAATAGCAAACCACTCCAGTATTCTTGCCTGGAGAATCCCATGGACAGAGGAGCCTAGTGGGCTACAGTCCATGGGGTGGCAAAGAATCAGGCACAACTGGGGATTGAACACATACAATGTGATACGGATGAGAAATAGAATTTTGAGACATACAAATATATGCCTTGCTTTTGTAAAGCTTTCACTTACAAGCAAAGCAGAAGAATTAAAGTATTTTCCAAAGGTACTTTTTAAAAATTTAGAAAACAGGCTAAATTTCTTTCTTTTAGAGTTAAATTTAAGTAAAAGACATATCTGTAATAATAGTGAAATAATCTAAAAATGAAAAAATTAAGATTGCTTTCATTAATTCCTTTTTTGGCTTGACTGTTGAAGTGACTGTGGGTGTGTTTCTGTCCACATCTAGAACACATCACCCTATACCTAATGTCATGTTCTTATAAAAAGACTGCTGCTGCTGAGTCCCTTCAGTCGTGTCCAACTCTGTGCGATCCCATAGATGGCAGCCCACCAGGCTCCCCCGTCCCTGGGATTCTCCAGGCAAGAACACTAGAGTGGGTTGCCATTTCCTCCTCCAGTGCAAGAAAGTGAAAAGTGAAAATGAAGTCGCTTAGTTGTGACAGACCCCCTTAGCGATCGCATGGACTGCAGGCTACCGGGCTCCTCCGTCCATGGGATTCTCCAGGCAAGAGGACTGGAGTGGGGTGCCATTGCCTTCTCCAATATAAAAAGACATGTATATGTAAAATAATTTCTATATGCACATTCATATATATTTGTAACATGACTTTTGTAACATAAAATTTTGACAGTGTCTTGTAGTTTGCTTTACTGTTAAATGGGGTTTAGATTGCTTAAAAAAAATGTTGGAAACTGTTGGACAACCACTAAAATGTTGCTAAAATAAATATGAGAGATAAAATGCTAAGATCTGCCAAGAGAGGAAATAGAATTGCACAAAGTTCAACTAAAACCATAGAGGATAGAGAAAAGGCTGGGGGGAGAAAGAAGCAAAAAACAAATGCAACGAATGAAAGTAATTACAAATCTTGTAGAAATAAATGAAACTATATCAATTACCACTTTAAATGTGAAGAGTCTAAATAAATTAACTAAAGACAGGGAATACTGGAATGGCTTTAAAAAGTGGATTAAAAAGTTATTATTTTTTTTAATCTAGAAGAAGCTATTTTAATTGTAAAATTACAGAAAAGTGAAAAGTAGAGAAATGGCTTCCCAGGTGGTTCAGTGGTAATGAATCAGCCTGCCAAATCAGGAGACATAAGAGATGTGGGTTCGATTCCTAGGTTTGGAAGATCCCCTGGAGAAGGAAAAGGCAACCCACTCCAGTATCCTTGCCTGGGAAATCCCATGGACAGAGAAGCCTGGCGAGCTACAGTCCA